CACATTAGTGTCTGTGCTCCGGTTCTGTGCCATCTGCAAAAATGCTGCAAGTGCTGAACGCAGCGAGCCGGCCGTAATGCGATTCAGTGCATTCCGGAGCCTGACAGCTCTGGAACGCACTGTTTGTGGTGTGAACCGTCCCTAAGCCCATCCTCTGGAGGAATAATGGGCACGTTGTTGATAAGTCTATCCCTATCCCAACAAAAAAAGCAATGATAACTTTAATCAACATAAATACAGAAAATGATGCAGAGACCTGGATCTGAAATCTAGATGTGCAGAGAATGGAAACTGATTTGAGGAGTTTTCAAGCAGCAAATGTGATCCGCAACTAAGCCAAATTATTTGACACTTAATAAATATGCACTAAAATATGAAAAGGAAGGTTTTGAAATATACAGTAAAGCAATACATTGGTGTAAAATGCTCTCCGCAGGGATTCCCCCCTACCCTCTCCGATCCTTCAGCACTGAGTGGAGGAACGGACGGGGAGGGGGCGGGCACAGCTGGCTCTGCCTCTAGATAGGCAGAGCCAGCTGTCACTCACGCAGCTGGGTGGATCTCGACAGTATTGTTGGGATCCATCCCACCTGCAGAGCTCTCAGTATATATACTGAGCTTTGGGTCATGGGAGGAGGTTAGTATATGTCCTTTTGAGACCCTAAAGAGAACTATGGGGAAAAACACTTACCCCAAAGTTCTCTTTTAATTTCACTTGTAATTTTACCATCGCAGAGTAAAGGTAATCTGCTCTACAGAAATTAACATTTGGACACACAGAAGTTCATTAATAAAATATAGCAAAATATTTCTACCAAGTCCCTCAATGTCAGGAATCATAAGCATAATATAAGATTAATTATTTACAATGAACAGAAGTACATTGCTGTTTTTCAAAGCTGGGAGCGAGGCATGCATGAGAGGAGCACAACTGCTGGACTGTTAAGGTAAGTGTTTTTAAAGCAGCTGCAGAGGGGGGTGTTTGCAGGAACACACACACTAAGGTGGGGGAGAGGGGGGTGTTTGCAGAGACACACACTAAGGTGGGGGAGAGGGAGAGAACCCGCACTGACCACCGCAATCCACCATCCAGAGTCCGCACTGACCACCCAAAACCCGCACTGACCACCCAGAGTCCGCACTGGCCCCTTGAGAGCAGTGTTCATTTTGGCACCAAATTTCATTCTCGTCTTAGTCTTTTGACAAAAATTTATTTTTATTTTTAGTCACATTTTAGTCATCAGATTATTTTTTGTTTTAGTTGACTAAAATCTAATAGGTTTATTTTTAGTGTAATGTATTATTTAAGCACGTCTCTAGCATGTTCAAACTCATTTCTTTATATATCCCTGGAAACATTTTTAATTTTATTTAACTTTAATTTTTTTAATTTTTTGTTAACTTCATTGCTATCACATGGGGGGGGGGGGGCTCACAAGCCCTCTATGTGATAGCACATTGGAGGTGACAGGTTCTCTTTATGGTGACATTAGGAGTCTTTTAGACCCCTAGTGTCACCTTTCCACTTCACTGGATTCAGCTACTGCGGAAGCTGAATGTCAACACAGCAGGCAGTGGCTGTAAACAATAGCCAGCCTCTTATTGCTTATTTTAAATTGGAATAGCAGGCTGGCTATTGCACCCGCCCACTATCTGCTGTCAATCAGCAGAGGAGTGAACTGAAGGAGAAAGTTCCCCATCAGGTCCTCTTCTGCTGATTGACAGCAGGGGGTGGGTGGGTGGAATAGCCAGCCTGCTATTGCAATTTAAAATATCCAATAGCAGGCTGGCTAATGTTTCCAGCCGCTGATTGGCGACTTGACACCGGTGATAGAACACCGCCAGAAGGGAAGGAGGAATGGGGTGGCCAGAGAAGGAGGAACAAGGCGGCAGGGGAGGAGGAGGAATGGGCAGCAGCAGAGGTACGAGGGGGAGCAGCAGGGGAATGCAGTGACAGTCTCTCCTCCCTGAGGGGTGCCAGGTGCAGTGATCAGTGTTCCCACTGCCTCTGCCGATACCGGCGGGAGAGCAGCGGGGATTGAAAGGAATACAGATCGCTGCAGCCAGCACCAGTGGGGAGGAGAACGTTGATGAAAATTGGGTACCGGACGAAAATTGTTTTTGCCACATTAACTACTCTTTAATTTAATTTTTATTGCTGAAAAACTGCCAAAAAACAGAAAAAAAGAATTTGCCGACAAAATGAACACTGCTTGAGAGCATGCACTGGCCACCAGTGAGCCTGCACCGCCTCCTGAGAGCCTGTGCAGCCCCCCTGAAACCCTGCAAAGCCCTCCTGAGACCCTGGAGACATCAGGCCATGAACCTGGCGAAACACAGGGTATGTAGCTTCATAGTAGTCTGCATTGCTTTATAATGCATTACTGGGATTTGTAGTCCTCTATAGTTGGCAGTATTCTGCACTGCTGTATATTGTATTGCTAAGATTTGTAGTCCTCTACAACTTGCAGTCAGTGGCAGTTCTACCAGACTCACAGCTGCAACCAGGCCCTGGCGCTCCACCACTGACTCCAAGCTGTAGAGAGACTACAAATCACAGCCCGGAAAGGAGGAAGAGGGCCCCGGTGACCGTCAACATTTCCACCAAAAGGCCCACCGAAATCCTCATCACTTGGACCCTGATGCTCTTAATCCGGCCCTGGGGCCCAGGCCTAAAGCTGTGTAAGGGGCCCAAAAATTTCTGATGGCTGCCCTGCGTCTCTCTGAAGGCTAGCAGCCCATCAAATGCCACACCGCAGCCTGGTCTTCTCGCAACAGAGCCGTCTCCCAACAGCTCAGAGTGGCAGGGTTAACGTGTTTCTGGGGCACGCCCCCTCCCTCAGAACTAGAGGGGAATTAATCAAAACTGGAGCAGACAAAATCTGAAGCAGTTGCCCAGAGCAACCAATCAGCGTCTCTCTTCAGTTTGTTCAGTTAGGATTTTAAAAATGAAAGACAGAAGCTAATTGGCTACTATGCATAGCTGCTCCAGATTTTGTCTAATCCAGTATTGATAAATTCCCCTCAATGTTTCCATCAAATCATGAGAAATATTAAGACTGAACTCCTGGCAGATATAAAAGACTATATTTAATCCAGTTTGAGATATTTATTCTAAAGAAATCTCTGAATCCATTTAAAATGCCTCTAGAATATGTACCTGATCAGTTTTTGCACAGGGTGCATTGCACAGTGCTGTCAATCTAATGCTGACCACACACATATTTTATTTCACAATTTTACAATTGTGCAGAATCAATATCTGCCTGATTTTAGTATAATTTAGAACGTTTGGTTAGAAAATATATTTTGGTAATATAACAGATCAAATCTGATCCAAACAATGTAAATACATGATATTTGCACATATTTGCGCTGTGTGAATATTTACTTCAATTAGCCAATCATGTGCAGATTTAAAATGGCGAACAGGAATTTGACTTTTACATGACTGGATAATTTCATTAAATAGCCACACGCTGTATTGTGTAAAAATTCCTGACGTTATAAACGTTCTTAAATCTTTCAGCCCCTATAGTTTATAGCAGTGTCAGGTACTGGATGATTGTTCCTTTATTACAACACAATTGCAAAATGTGTAGATTTAATGTCTGTAATGATTTCAACATCTCACTGTAAAACAATATCCTGTGTTTTATTAGAATGGCATGATTAATGCTTTGTTTAAATATGTTGTTTAACAAGGTGTGACACTGCACATAAAAGTGTCAGAACGTTTCAAGCAAGATCAGGAAATAACGTGAAAGCATGTGTCTCAGTAACAATAAGGCTGCTTTCCTACAATAGAAACTATTTGCACTTTTGTGGGGACTATGAGTAGGGGTGCCACTTTTTCTGGAAAAAAGCCTGCCTTTCTGGTATTGCTAACATTTGCAACAAATTCCATTTTAATCGGCTAGGCTGATAAAGTACCGGCCAGAGGCCTACCCTAGCTGGGAGGGATGAGCTGTGCTTGGGAAAAGATGCAGTGTGAGCAATGTAATGAAGAAGATTGTGAGGTGAGTGGGAGGCACTGACCTGGAGTAAAGGTGCTGTGAGCGGAGGAAAGAAATTGAGGTGAGAAGCGAGGGAGCTGCTGACTGAGCATGTGGGTATATACACTGCCTGGCCAAAAACAAATCTATTTTTTTTACCGCCTTTAGCTTTGATTACGGCATTCGCCCCAACATCGTTTCAACAAGCTTATCCAATGTCACAACATTTTTTTCCCTCCAGAGTTGCATTCATTTTTCACCAAGATCTTGTAGTGATGATGGGAGAATCGGACCATGATGTAAAGTCTTCTCCAGCACATCCCAAAGATTCTTAATAGGGTTAAGGTCTGGACTCTGTGGTGGCCAATCCATGTGTGAAAATGATGTCTCTTGCTCCCAAGGCCACTCTTTCACAATCTGAGCCAGATGAATCCTGGCATTGTCATCTTGGAATGTGTCGTGCCATCAGGAAAGAAAAAATCCATTGATGGAAAAACCTGGTCAATCAGTATATTCAGGTAGGCAGCTAACCTAATTTTTTGGGACATAATGTTGCTGAACCTAGACCGGACCAACTGAAATAATCCCAGATAATAATACCGCACGAGATCCAGGTGGTGACTTTTTTTTGAGGCAGTGTACATATAATCAGAGAATATAATGTTGTACATAGATGACAAATATGCTTCACTTGTGCACAATCCCCCTACTTATAATATCCGTGTTATCACGTCTACATCCAATCATCAGACAAACATTTGTGTTAAGTACAAGGGAAACACGTCCTTACAGGAGACAGTCGCCTTTTGCACCAATTAGAAAAGGCCACTTTCTCCTATAAATCCATTAATCTGATCACATTTTTTTTTCTTTCAATTTAATTTAAGAAGCAGTAAGCTAACAGCTAGCTAATTGATCTCCCAAGTGTTTAATACGGCACTAAGCATATATATTGCTCAGATATGCGTTGGTTGGAATTGGTGCATACAAAAATAACCTACAAAAAATATTTCATAACATTATACTTTGTTTATAGATGTCATTTCCTGCAATGCCCTACTATCAGCTGGCCTTAACTTAAAGCTATACTTTTTGTACACGGTTCCATCCCCTGTGCTGTATACTATGTCACATTCATCCATACTGTCTTCCTCTTCAGCATCAGAGGCATTCTTATGAACAATGGTGTCCTCATCACAGTATGTCATAGCCCGGGAACTGCCATTCAGCCTTTCATAGCTCCGTTTCCAACACAGCATCTTCTTAGACTTAGCTTGTTTTATAACAAATACTGCCACTGCCATACCCAACAGTGCCAGAACCAAAACAGGGGTCACGGCAGAATAATGAGAGACTTTGGGAGGAAATCTGTTGGCAAGCTTTAGGTTCTTCAAGGCAACCTGTTCAGCTTCAACTTGTAGGTGTTTTATGCAAAGTACTGCAAGGGAATGGGTAGAAAAAGGATTAGAATTTCATAGGAAACAGTTAATTTATTAAAACAGAACAGAACACAAACTGCAACATGTACCATTCACTGCAACCAGTCAGCAAACATTAAATATTGGTCTAGTTTCAATACAGTGAATTCTGACTGCTGGTTTTCGTAGGTTAATGCACTTTGCACAATGCATTCGTTTTTGGAATTAAATCAAAGGCAAGAAGAACAAAAGATAATCATCATTATAACCAACAGATCAACTGTGGGCAAGCAACTGTTCATAGGAGGTTGGGAAAGGTGCTGATATATAATCCAAAAAACAAATACATGCCCATTGATAAGGCCACATTCAGCAGTAGCAGAAAACCAACAATAAGTGAAAACATAACCTCCCTCGAACTCTTTTTTTTTACCACATGTGCAAACATAAATTAATTGTGTAAAACCATACATTTGTTGGTTATGAGTTTAGATGAAGCACCGAGATCTTGAGGAATGCTGAATTAAGTTTTATTTGATTAGAAGAACGTTACACGTATTTATACAGCATTGTGCAGAAACTCCGATCTCCGAGGATCGTGTGAGTATAACTTTTTTTTTTAACTTAGACAAAAACGAGCAGTTAACCCTTGCAGTGTGGGGGTAGCCTACTGCAAGGATAAATAAAATTTGTGGCCAGAGTTCTACTTTAAAAACAAAAGAGTCTAATCAGATTTTTTGGTGTTCATTATTAACACACTTAGAACAATATAGTCTTTGGGAGATGATTGCTAACCAATGAAACAATAGGTTAAAGGAGAACTATGGGGTCAGTGTTTTTCCCCATAGTTCTCCTAAGGGTAACGGGAGGACACAAACTAGCATCCTCCCGTTACCCTAAGCTCAGTATACCGCGAGCTACAGCTCGCGGTATACTGAGACGCCGCAGCCGGAGCGGATCACGACTTAGATGACGGGATCCGCCCAGCTGCGTGAGTGACAGCTGGCTCTGCCTATCTAGAGGCAGAGCCAGCTGTACCCGCCCCCTCCCCCATCCGTTCCGCCAGTCAGCGCTGGCAGATCGGAG